TCCATACCAGGCAACATCCTGGTGAACCTCCTCTGCACCCTCTACAAAGCATCCACATCCTTTTGGTAATGTGGCGACCAGAACTGTACGCAGTATTCCAAATGTGGTGGAACCAAAGTCCTATACAACTGTAACATGACCTGCCAACTCTTGCACTCAATACCCCATCTGATGAATGAAAGCATGCCGTATGCCTTCTTGACCACTCTATCGACCTGCGTTGCCACCTTCAGGGTACAATGGACCTGAACACCCAAATCTCTCTGTGCATCAATTTTCCCCAGGGCTTTTCCATTTACCATTTACCATATAGCTCACCATATATTTACCATTTACCATATGGATATCGACGATATCGTCGGTGCTGCTTCCCTCTCGCAACTGGAATTGAAAAGTTCATTGACTTCGCTTCCAAGTCCCACCCTGCACTCACATGCACCTGATCCATCTCTGACTTCTCCCTTCCCTTCCTCGACATCTGCTTCCATGTCTGGGAATAGACTGCCAACTAGTATCCATTGTAAACCCACCGATTCCCACAGCTACCTAGACTATACATCCTCGCACCCTGCTTCCTGTAAAGACTCCATCCCATTCTCTCAGTTCCTCCATCTCCGTCGCATACGTTCAGATAAGACCACCTTCGACAAGGGAGCCTCCGAAACATCCCCTTCTTCCTCAACTGAGGATTCCCCAGCACCGTTGTCAAGAGCCCTCAACTGGGTCCGACCCATCTCCCACAGTTCCGCCCTCACCCCTTCCCTTCCCTCCCGCAACAGCAATAGGGTTCCCCTTGTCTTTACCTACCATGCCACCGGCATCCACATCCAGAAGATCATCAGACGCCATTTCCGCCACCTCCAGAGAGATGACACCACCACCCCTCCACTCCCTTGTCCGCCTTCCAATGGGACCGTTCTCTCTGGCACACCCTGGTCTACTCTTCCTTCACCCCCCAATCCACCCTCCACGCACCCCCCCCCCCCCCCCCAACAACCCTATGGTACCTCCACCTGTAACCGACAAAGGTGCAACACCTGCCCATTTATCTCCTCCCTCCCCACTATGCAAGGGCCCGAACGTACCTTCCAAGTGAAGCAACACTTCACCTGCACTTCACACAATCTAGCCTACCGCATTCGCTGCTCACAATGAGGTCTTCTCTAAACTGGGGAAACGAAGCATAGACTGGGTGACCGCTTTGCGGAACACCTACATTCTGCTCACAAAAGAGACCCTGAGCTACCTGTTGCCTGCCACTTTAACACAACATCCTACTCTCTGGCCAGCATCTCTGTCTCTGGCTTGCTGCAGTGTTCCAGCAATGCTCAACGCAAGCTGGAAGAACACCTCATGTTTGGGGACCCTGCAGCCCTCCAGACTCAATATCAAGTTCAATAATTTTAGGGCCTTAACTCTCCCATGTCTCAGCCCCCTGCCTCACACACCAGGCCTTGTTATCATATAGCTTCCCAGTACACATTGCCTATTGTTAGTCATTAACAGTCCCCATTAAGAACTATTCACCCTCCCAGCCAGATAGTTATCAACCCCTTTGTCTATCCAACTTCTCCACTTTCACTTTGGGCTCTATCCTATCATTTACTCCATACTCCATACCCATCCCCCTCCCAACTTTCTGCATATAAACCAATGTTTTCCAGCCACCATCAGTTCTGTGGAAGTGTCACCGGACCTGAAACGTCAACTCTGATTTTTTTCTTCACAGATGCTGCCAAACCTGCTGAGCTTTTCCAGCAACTTCTGATTTACGAGAATATTGCCTGGAATGGAGAACCTTAGTTACAAGGAAAGATTAGATAGACTGGGGCAGTTGTCTATGGAACAGAGGAGCCTGAAGGAAGACCTAACTGAATTTTATAAAATAGTGAGGAGTCTTGATAAAGTGGATATGAAGACTTAGTTTCTCCTGTTCAACACAGCCATAACTGAGGTGGTGGGGTAGGTTAAGACGAAAAAGGTGTAGAGGGGATTTAAGGGGAGATTTGTTCATCCAGTGGATTGTAGGGATCTGGGACTCACTGTCTGAAAAAGTTGTGGAAGTTGAAATCCTTAGCGCATTGTTGCGAAGTTGGATAGAGGATTTGATGCTTGTAAAACGATAGGGGGAAGTGTATGCGGTCCCTTTAAAAGATGATGTTTTTTTCAGCTTGGAAATTAAAAAATTGTCTGCAGGCAGAAGCAGATACAGAGTTCTTGAAATTTAAACATTTTATCAAAAGGCTGTATTGTTAGCAGGCAAAGTGGCATTTTTACCAAGACAACAAGTTTTTGAATTTGGCTAATTAATTTAAACCAGGCCCTAGATACCAAAATCCAATTAGATTTAAATCTGATAGTTTTGACAACCTGGGACTAATCTTATTTTAAGAAATTAATAGGTCATCAAAGGATAGAAAAGAAGAGGACATTTGAAATGCAGTGAGAGAATCAACTATCATGCCCTGCCTGCAAAAGTAGTAGACTCGCCAACTTTAAGGGCATTTAAATGGTCACTGGATAAACATATGGATGATTATGGAATAGTGTAGGTTAGATGGGCTTCAGATTGGTTTCACAGGTCGGCGCAACATCAAGGGCCGAAGGGCCTGTACTGCGCTGTAATGTTCTATGTTCTACCAAGAGAAAAGGTCTCAGCTATAAAAGAAAGAATCACTGGCTCTCACAGAAATCTCCAAGCTCTCAGAGTAAGCACCATTTAAATAAAAGGTATTACAGCACTCATTAGCTAATATTCTTGACAGACGAATTCAACAGAGAAAGGCATTCCTGACTGAAGTACAACAGAGAAGGTATAGACATTCTGGAAGACGTTTCCTGGCTGTAATTTCGAGAGATTAAGTTTTAAATTATTTTATTATTTTGGTTTCTATAACTGGGACTTGTATTTATTGGTACAGCATTTCATTAGAATTTTGTTTTAGTTGGGAATAGTTAGTAGTTAAGGGGGGGAATTGTTTGGTTTGTTAGTAGTTCTGTTAATTTGTTCACTGTTAGTTAGATAAATAAATTGTTACTTGTTGATTATAGTGTGTCTGTCAGGAGTTCATTTCATTTAACCTCTCCTTTATAACAGATCGGTTGGGGAGGGATGGCAGGGGGTGGGTGGGGAGGCAGGTTATACCACTTTTCACACTTTCTTTCACAGACTATGAGGTGAGGCAAGCTTCTCTGGGTGCTTCAGTTTTTGTTATCAGAGGTGGGTGAACCCCTGCTTCGTAACAACAATTAAAAAATACTGGGATCTGGATCCTAAATGCCATAACTCGTAGGAGTACAGACCAAATGCTGGAAAGTGGGATTGAGTTGGTTGGCCACTTGTTCGATGGTACAGACACAATGGGCTGAATGGTTTCCTTCACTGTAGATAGGGAGAAGCTGTTCCCACTCAAAAGGAGGAATAAGAGGGCATAGGTTTAAAAGTGATGTGCAAACAAAACAAGGGTGATGTGAGAAAAAGGTTTTTCACACAATGAGTATATAGGGTGTGGAACGCCCTGGAAACGTGGTGGATGCAAGTTTAATTGACGCATTCAAGAGGTGACAGGGATATGGGGGAAGAAAAGCAGTAGATTGGCACTAGGTAAGAGAACCGGTACAAGCATGATAGGCTGAATGGCCTTCTGCATCTCAAAGTCACAGAATCCAAACCATCAGAATTAAATGTAATTGGGTTTTGGTATCTAGGGCCTGGTTTAAATTAATTAGCTAAATTCAAAAACCTGTTGTCTTGGTAAAAATGCCACTTTGCCTGCTAAGCACATTTGTGTGATATCAAATTTGGAAGAATAGCAAACGGTAAAGCTGACATCAACTGACTGCAATCGGGCATAAATAAACTCGCAGAGGGGGACAGAAAAATGGAATTTGATACAGAGACGTGTGAAGTGATGTATTTTGGCAGAAGGTATTAGGAAGAGACAATTATAAACCCAATGGCACAGTTTTAAATAACACGCAGGTCTTCACAGGGAAGATGGGGACTCCATTTGCTCAGGTGTCAAGATAAGAGAGTCAATAACACAGCAGGTACGATTTTGGGCTGCATAAATAAAAGGTATCGAAGTACACTAACAAGGAAGTTTTCCTGAAACTTTATAGTCCACAGGTAGAGTACTGTGTCTCCAGTTCAGGTCACAACACTTTTGTAAGGACATGCAAGGCATAGAGAGGGTTTAGAAGGGAATTATCAGGAGGACTCCAGGGATAAGGAGATGTCAGTGGTGAGATGAGGTTGGAGAAGCTGAGGCTGCTCACCTTGGAGCAAAGGAGCATGATCAAAATGTATAAGGTTATCACAAGCTTAGATAAGGTAGACAAAGGAACGTTGCCTCCATTTGTCAATGGAACAAGAATTTGGGGACAAAGGTGTAAACTTCTGCACAAGAGATATGGGAGGGTGGAAGGGTTGGCAAAAGAAGAAATATTTTTAGTGAGTGGGAATTACCTGAATAGTTCCCATCAAGAACCAGCATAGACTCTGATGGGCCAAACAGCCTCCTGTTAGGTTCAATCATTCTTGCTGCTTTTAGTTGGCCATGGGGATTATCTGTAAGGATTATCGTTCATCCAAAACTGGGTAACATGCGCTGTCTCTGATTCCTTTGTCCAAGTTACAGCAGCCCCGGAAATGGAGGGTTTACAAAATCGCATCACATTAAAAGGGTCTTATGTATAATTACATGGAGCCAGGGAAATGAGTCTTGCTCCTGGATCTGGCAGGGTGTCGCCAGTCCAGCTATCGTCCTCTTTCAAATTTCTCCCAATCCCTCAAACACAACACTTGGCCCAACCTGGTCACCAAGGAGTGCCACCTGCCTCTAGAAGCATGACAGGCAGGATACAACTTGCTATCAGGAGGTGCTTGGAACAACTGCTTTGGCTTGTCATTACAGTAACATCAGCCTCTTCGTGCCTTTATCAGCACTGGCCAATTTCTAGCCCACTGTTCCTTCCTTTATGCCTGATCTTGCAATCACTGACCAGCACTGACAGAAGCATTAGAGAGATTTGCACCATTTGGTAACTCCAGCTAAAAAGAAAAGCAGTGTCAAATGTTTAGGAGGTATATGTGAACGTGAAATGATAAAAGGGCTGAAGCATTGAGGATATTGAAATTAAAAGGCCACAATTGGGTTGGAGAGCCTGAGATAGACTAGAATGTCAGACAGAATGAATAGGAGGATGCTGGACATTATCAAACAGGCAGGAGATCAGATAACATCATGATACAACGAGAATCAGGAAAACATCAACACTCAAGTCTGCTTCTTCTCAGGTTGATTTCCAGAATGGCTTTTGGGGTAAAACAAAATGGTCCTAAATGAAGTTTTACAGCACAGTTACAACCGGTCTACCAACTCCCATTTGAGGTCCATGCTATAAAGAATGTCTGCTGATGATCTAAAAGTGCTCTTGGCATATACGTATAAAACACACACAGTACCTCTGCCAGTGCCATCCTGTTTAGTTGTGGGCATGACCTTTTTGTAAAGTGAGCACGTGCAGATGTTTTCACACACGCCCCCGATCCTTTCAAGGGGGGGCAGGAGACACAGCTCTGTGGAAAACCAGCAGCAGCACCAGGGTAAGGCCCTCCATTGACTCCTAGTTGCCACTCTCAGGCCTCAGCTGGCATCAGGCAGAAGGTCACCCTTTGACCTGCCCTCCTGTGACAGAATCAGAGGGAATCAGGAAGGCAGTGGCAACTCTACCACCCACCTTCCATCCTCATACTACGACAACCACCGCCTGTTTCCCAGCCTACTTCAGTCGTCCTTTGTGTGTACATTGTAGTTCGAGAAATATACGCAGAAGACATATATACGACTGTTATCAGAATGCAATATGCAACTCCAGAGTCAATAGATAATACAGAGGTGAAAATTACACTTACTATATTTTTAGTCACTTGTTAAGACTGTACTCTGTTCAATGGATGTAGAGCGGAACTTAAAATGGAAACAAGAAAATACATCATAGCTACACAACTCAACCTCACTTCTGTCTCCGTCTCCTCTGCTAAAAACAAAAATGTGGCCCATAACCTGGACAATCTCATTTCTCTGCAGAATACTGTAGCTCACAACAGGGAAGGAGCTAAAAAGGGGAAATGTTAAACACTGAAATCATGCCACTTTTCCAGTTCCAAGTCCACAGCATTTTCCATTAGGAATGAAGGCCTGGTTGGCTCGTTTTCCGGTGTGCCCAAGATTCACTCACCTTCAGGCTACACTTAGATGGCGCCTGGCTCAGATCACTCAGATGCCAGTTGTCAGAACCAGGAGTGATTCGACCAACTTGCTGTCCACGGAGATTCCCATCCAGTACAGGGAAGAGGCCCAGAGTATTTGGCCGTTCCTTCCTACTGGGAAAAAGCAACAAGGTGCAATTGAAGTTTCATATTTACCAGCAATTCACACATTCTTCAGAAACATCGAGGCTGTTACTTAACTGTTATGACTGCATAGATTTTGCTACTGCAGACCAGAGTATAAGGACAAGCTGCTTCATTGCTTTCTAAGTATTACACTGCTACCAACAATGGGGAGATATTGGTGAAGACAGAAAAGTTGTGAAAGCTTTCCATTTGGCACACATTAGGACAAATGCAAGAATTCCCAATTTCTAATAATCACAACAATTAATACTGTGGGTAAATCATTCAATATGACTACATCAAAACGTTGTTTTCTTGTGACACTACACAGTCAAGAACATTCAGCATAATCACAGAAATTAAATAACACCACATCATTTCTCCATTAAAATGTGACAGTGAAAAGTGGAGGACTATATCTTTGCATAGAATCCACTCAGAGGAAAACAATCCCCGCTTTACAGTTTTGGTCTCCTGACTTGAAAAAGGGCGTAGCAGAGAGGGTACAGAGCAGGTTCATTAAGTTGATTCTGGAATTGAGGGGGTTGGCTTATGAGGAGAGATTTAGTAGACTGGGACTATACTCATTGGAACTTATGAGGAGGTATTTTATGGAAATCTATAAAATTATGAAGGGAATAGATAAGATAGAAGCAGGGAGGTTGTTTCCACTGGTGGGTGAAACGAGCACTAGAGGGCATAGCCCTAAAATAAGGGGGGGGGGGGGGGGGGCAGATTTAGGACCAAGTTGAGGAGGAATTTCTTCACCTGAAGGGTTGTGAACCTGCGGAGTTCCCCGCCCAGTGAAGCAGTTGAGGCTTCCTTGTAGAATATTTTTAAGGCAAAGATAAATAGATTTTTGAACAGTATGGGTATTAAAGGTAATGGTGAGTGCGTGGGTAAGTGGAGCCGAGTCCATGAAAAGATTAGCCATGATCTTATTGAATGGTGGAGCAGGATCGAGGGGCCAGATGGCCTACTCCTGCTCCTAGTTCTTATGTTCTTATTCTAAGCCTGGTCTCAGATCTTCAATATAATTCTGTGAAGAGTAAACGCACTCTGGTACTATTTTGTTCCTGCAAACAATTTTTACTTTGGACATCAGATTGCATTGAATCAGAGGGCAGAGTGTCACACATTCTAATGTCTTCATAGAGATGCAACTCAGCTCTGCAAATGCAGAATATCGGAGCTGAAAATTATAGCTGTTAACCTGATCGGTCTCTTTAAAGCCACAACACTCCATTGGGGAGTGGGGCTAGCAGGCATATCTCTGCTTCACTCAGCAGAAATCGAGAGTGAATAAAGACAACAAGGTCCTAAAATTGTGTGAGATTGGGAATCACGTACATATTATGGAACAAAACAGCAAAGTCACTGAAGTTTGACGTGCTGGAGAATTATAAGCACTTTTTATGATCCATAGTGAAATTCAAACGCTCCTAGGCAACTTCAAGTGGGTGGAATTATTAGAAGAAATATTATTTTTCTCTTTGTTTACATTAACATCAGGTCCAATGCATTTCCATGAAACTAAAGTGACCTCAGCATTTGAGCTCCATACTAACAACAGAAAATGACCTTGCTGGGTTATGTACATGCAAAGGGCTGTGGAGAATGAGGTGGAGATCAGGAAAACATATCAAAGGGTGGGATTCCTTAAATGAAACGTTGGAATTCCAGAAAAACAGGAAAATTCCTCCATCCTGGTGAGTTCAGTTTTTCCTATTGACGATGCTTCCAAGCTTTTTTTGCTCCAGATCAGAAAACAACAAGTCTACCTCTTTTTGAAAGTTTAGACATTTCTACGTTTGAAGGGAGGTGCAGTCCTTCAAAACTTTCATAACCATTAAAAGAAACAGGCGCAAGATTCACTCTTTTTACAACACATTCTCTTTCCTATATTGGTCTCCCAATGCAAGCACATATGCACTCAGATGACAGCTGATCTTAAATGAGGCGTCTCATCCCCATTCCCCTACTCTGAGCCGTTGCCCCCAAAATACTTCAATTTGTCATATACCTTGTGCTAGTTCTGGGAGCAGGTTTGGCGGGAACAGACTAGCAAGTGTTTTTTGCAACTGCTCCTTTTGGATTTCAACATCAGAAATACCACAGGACAGCCTCGACAGCCGCTCCTTGTCACATTCAGCACCATGGACAGCACCTAGTACCAGGTCCATTACCTGCAGTTCACCAGTTCCTAAAAATCAGCAGGAATTTCAACCCGTTGAAAGTATCATTCATGTCAAAGTCAACCCCTCCCTATCTTCTGCCTAAAGATACGTTCTCAAAACCATGACTGTTGCACGAGTATACAGAACACAGAACAGTACATGATGCCAAGTTAAACTAATCCCCTCTACCTGCCCATGGTCCATATCCCTCCATTCCTTCCTTATTCATGTGCCCCTTAAACACGCCTATCGTATTTGCCTCCACCATTACCCCTGGCAGCACATTCCAGGCACCTACCACTCAAAAAAATACTTGCCCCTCGCATCTCCTTTGAGCTATCCCTCTCTTAATTTAAATGTATTTACATTCCCTAACCAAGAAAGATTTGTTACTTGCATCCAGCCATCTACTAAAGTTACATTTTACTAAAAGAGCCAAAAAGTGTTTAAACAAAAAGACTTGTGTTTATATTGTCTTTATAAGGATATCCAATTAAGTGCTTTTTAATTATAGTCAATGTTGTAATGTAGCAATCAATTTGCACACAGCAAGATCCCATTAACAACAGTGCGATTATAACTGGATAATCCATGTTAATGTAGCCATTGTGACCTTTTCATTCCAACTTTCTAACTGCACCCATGGGCCAACACCCAACACTCCTAACCAAAAATCTCCCCGATGGTGACACCACTGAGATGGACAACTTGCCATCTGGGAATGAGGATGTAGTTCCTCACCTTTGATTTTTGTGGCACAGTGCATTTGATCTCTCAAACTGTGCCACAATACTGCCAACCTAACCTGTGACACTGCACAGAATTATAACATACAGCAGCACAGAAACAAGAGTCAAGAAAGTGGTTCACCGTCCCCTTTACATGGAAATTACAGATGGACAACAGATAATAGCCCTGCTGCCGATGTTCACATCCCATGAATCAACCTGCAGTGTTTTCCAAGACTTGGAGATTTAAACACATGTCCTCATCTCACAGTCCAATCATGAAGCAGAAAATGCCATCAAGACTGTCAAACAACCCTTCACAGAATGCAAGCAGTCCAGCCAATCAATTTTATTTCATATTATGTTGGCCATGCGAAAGTGAAGGTACTAACCCTGTACAACAAACAGTGTGTCATACATGCAAGACGCTGCTTTCTGATTGCAGTCAGGAGATACAGTACAGGTTCAACTTCCGCCAAAAATTCTGGTGTGGACATGTGCTGAATGAAGTGCTGCCTTTCCCTGAAATGATAATGTGCTAAAGTCACAATGTGGAGAACACGGTCAAGCTGATCGGTGCTGCCCAGCTCCATTCCTGTGACTGATAGCTTTCCTGAACTGTAGGGCACCAGTTGTGCTTTCAACACACAGTCACCAAAGCGAGTAGCGATTTCAAGACCCAAATGCCTAGCAGTCAGTCATCAATCACTGACCAAAGCTCACAGTCAGCACCAATCTCCATCTCAATGGCTGGAATGGTACTTCCTTCTGGATTCTCTGTTTCCCTTCGGTTACACTTCAGAATTCCCACGTGCGTAATATTTTTCCAAAACTCAAACAATTTGTCAATATAACCGCATCTTTATCCTTCGAAGGGAAATGCATGATCTGGGGCACACGTTTGCTTTATAGGTTTGACATGCTCACCATTGTCATGGGTTTATTCTCTCTCTCTCTCTCTCTCTCGTGTTTGCAGAAGAGCATAAGAATTAGGAGCAGGAGTAGGCAATTCAGCCCCTCGAGCCTGCTTTGCCAGGTGCGCATGCCAAATGGTATTGCTGGGTCATGGAGCTCCTGTATCTTACACCTCTTAGGTAAACACAGAATAAAACTTGCCCAATTCTCCCAACAGCACACAGATGCATCTACTATTTAAAAATGCATTTGGGACGAGAACGGGATTGCAGAAGATCAGAAGGGTGTGCGGCGTGAGCAATGCAATTAAGTGGTCAGAGTTGATGACACCGGTGACTAACATGAAGGGAATAGAAAGACTGGTGAGATGGCAAAATTGAAGGATTGTGAAAATGGCAACAGCAGAAGAGTTTATACAGAGCCTAAACAGAGAATGCTAGAGAAACTTAGCAGGTCTGCCAGCCTCTGTGGAGAGAGAAACAGAGTTAATGTTTCAAGTCTGCTATGATTCTTCAAAGTTTATGTCACAGAATCCCTACACAGTGTGGAAGTAGACCATTTGGCCCATTAAGTCCCCACCGACCCTACAAAGTGCATCCCAACCAGACACACCCTATCGCTGTAACCCTGCATTTTCCACGGCTAATTTATCAAGCCTGCACATTCCTGGAAACAATGGGCAATTTGGCACAGCCGATCCACCTAACCTGCACATCTTTGGACTGTGGAGGAAACCGGAGCGCACCCGGAGAAAACCCACGCAGACACAGGGAAAATTTGAGGCAGCAGTGCTAACCACTGAGCTACCGTACCAGAGGGAGAAGTTGAGGCAGGGGAGCAAAGTCAGTGGACAGAGGGGACAATGAATCGAGATGGATACTGAAATCACCAAAGATAAGATGTCTAACATCAGATGCAGGGAATCTGTAACAGGTCCTCTGTGCAGTGGTTGCAAGAATGAAAGCATTCAAAGTTGTTTTCTTATTGATCAAGGATTCTTTAAGCTTTCTAAAACCCATTTCTTGTTGTATTATTAATCAGCAAATGCACATTAGCCACTTTACACACCTCCGATCAAAATACTTAGCAGTTACTCCTTCTGGGATGTCCCAGATTCTTGGATAATTACCCATGAACACCCACCCATTAAACTAGACAGTAATGC